AGATTTTTCAACTGCCTGTGACGCTTAGTCCCAGAACTAAACGTCAGGCTTTCGATTTTTGTTTTTGATAGGCAGTTAATAATAATGATAATAATTGGTTCACAGTATAAATAGATAAAAGTGTTTTCTTTGGTTCAATAGCCACAACAACACTAAGAAAAACAAAGTATATCAAATGTATAAAGTGAGCAATACTTAGAATAGATGCATCAAATGTCCTAATCAACTGACTATCAAATATCCTAACCCTTATCTAGCTCTTCAAAATGAAGAAAGARTGGTCCAATTAAAGGCCCTGCACCATTCCCTGGATGCTTGGAGACAATGATAAATTTTTCTGGCAATRGTTGAAGGGGCCTGGAAGGGAAGGGTCACGATATTTTAGTTCTGGGACTAAACCACGTCAGGCAGTCGAAAAATCTCAAAATGCTGTGCTTGTGTATACAAACTTATCTAACAGTGTTTTCTTCGGCCTTTATTACATTTCTCTTGTTGAACTCATTGCAATTACATTTGTTTCGACGATTTTTCAAAAAAAAAATGACTGCCTGACATTTAGTTCTGGGACTAAGCGTCACAGGTAGTCGAAAAATTTCAAAATGCCGTGCTTGTGTTTGAAACTTGTCGAACAGTATTATTTAGGTCTTTACCACATTTCCCTTGTTGTATTAATGGAATTATCAAATCCCAAGAGTAATAATAATAAAAGTAACAATATATCGCACGAAAMCTAAGGGGAGAGCGGCAATACAATCTCTAATATCACAAGACGAACAGACAAACAACTAAAGCAGCGATATGATCTGKGGTAAGAAAATGATAGGAATAAGCGGTAAACTAGTGTCAGTTGCCAACACCATTCCTCTCTCTCTACTTTTCGTCGTTAGCTAAAAATGTATGGTAATGAGTTTCCATAAGATGCATTGTAACTAAARCAGTGAGGATAAAATTCTTATATAAAATAGTTCTTCATATTCTTTTTGAATGTCACCCTCAACACCTTTTTGGAAAAAAAATAACAATATAAGAAATAATATATAAAAATGATTGAAATAAAGGAAAATTAACAAATCTAAGATTCGTACATCCTTTGTAAACTCCTCATTTCGACCCTTGGGGACAGATAACAGGCAAATTGATTGATAAACTCGATCAAACATATATCTATATCGYAGACACATACACCACTCCCAACTCATCGCCTCTATTACTTACGTTTTACTATTTTACGACGTTGCAATATCTCACTATTGAATGAATCCCCTGTAAAGATAATGAAAACATCATTGAGGTGGTAATAGTCAAAGACATTGACTTACATACACGTTCAAAAGGCTTGTGCGGCGAGCAAGGAACAAAAAAATAAGATTAAAATAAGAATTAGGACCGTTTCAGACGTCGATCTTTTGTCGAGTTTAATCTAATTGGTGAAGTTGAGTTCAGGAGCATTTTTTTCTCTCAATCTATTGACTTAGTAGACTTTGCACAGTTGGAAAAACTTACTATAATCCGAAAAAACTATCGACGCATTTTACAGAATATCGCTCAATTATCCTTCGGGCGGACACTGCGAAATAATTTTTCTAAAATTGAAGACATTGTTGAATGATAGTTTAAACAATAAATCAAGTGAAAATACGTACCATAGCAAGAAATTGTGAATAMTGAAACAATTGCAATGACTAACGCCTTCATCTTTTTGGACGTTACCGTAGTTTTCTGWGCCAGTTGTGAGTAGTGATCAAAAGTMCWTTTTCTGTCACCTTATATAATAATTGTTAGAGAGATGTTAAACGATAGTCAACCTGCTTTAAGTAATTAGCTGTGGTAAATTTGTGGCCTTCACTTGTATAATATGAATCGCTTCTAATTACAAAAACGTATATCTCCCAATTCTTTTTAAAAGAAGAAAACAAATATTGATTTCGGTTTTTTCCGAATTCTTAAAACCACAAGGTATACTTTACAGCACTTTAATGCAAAAATACATAGCAATACAGTAACAGCTTGACACGAAGAAAATGACTAAAAGACAACCCTTGTAATGTATGTTTCTTACAAACTCAAGTTTAGAATGTTCCTGCCAAGTTTTGAAGATAACTTTATCAGAAAAAA